AATTTTTATTTAGTTTTTCCAGCAGTGTTACATTTTTTTTGCTTGATAGGAGCAAGGGACTACAAAATTTGTCTATCGTTCATTGTCCCAAGCACTTTCAGCCACTTCCTTAGCCATTTTCAAGTGGGTTTTGTTTTTGGTGCAGTTAGTTTCTTTTACTGTTTTGACTGTGTGAGATGTATTATTTGTGTGGTTTTTCAATATTAGTAGGAGCATCAATACTACCACCTCAAATGTCACTTATCAGAGCAGAGTGCCATAAAAAACATCTATAAACCCACAATCTACAAGAACCCTTAAGAAAATTTCTGGTTGAAAACACTAGAGTTCTATGTAAATCAAATTACTGAAAACATCTCACTATAAGAGTTGCATCAACATCATGTTTAATGAATGGGAGGGTGAACCTAATCAAGTCAATGCCAAAAAAGGAAAGTCTTTCAAAATAAAGCACCCATAGAAAGTTACCCCACTTGAATTCCTCTATTATTCTTTAGCCATGTCCAAGGGTAAGAATAAATGCTACTAGTATTCAAAACCACACAAATAATACATCTCACACAATGGAAAATTGTAAGAACATTGGAAAGACTAAATAAAAAATTATTAAAATTATATATATATTTTTTGTTTAAGCATTTCACCCCAAGCAAGGCATGAGTGTCACTGGTATGCAAGGGGTTACAGAGAATGAAGATGAAAGAAAAGACTGGGTATAGGGTGGGGGGATTGAGGAAAGGATAAAAAGTAGAATGGGGATCAAGGCATCAGAAAATGATGATTGATATTACATTTAAATTTTTGAAGATTGTAGTTATCAGGGAAGCAATTAAGAGGAAGGGAGTTCCACTGTTGGGAAGTGTGAGAGAAGAAGCTGTTAAAGTAGAAATGGTGGTTACATTTAACTGTTACAACAGTAAGAGTGGGCACTAGATGACACCCTAGTAGCATGCTTAAATTCATGCAGTTGGAGCACCAGGGAAAATAGCTCGTCAGAACAGCTTCCATGAAAATATTTGTAGAAAAGACAGAAGGAAGCCACATCACATCAGTGAGAAAGTGACTGGAGTTGAGGTGCCAACTCATGATTGATCTCATTGCAGATCCATCTTTGGATTTTGCCAAGAACTGCTTAATAAAATAAAAAAACAGGAGCAACAATTCAAACACATTTACTAAATAAAAATAATGTTTACATTAATAAGAACTAATGTGGGATAAAAAAATCCTCTCAGTAAATACATGAATAAAATAAATGCTCCTTTTATACTAATGCCAGTGATCCTAGGGCTCCATCCTTGTTTCTACTTCGTTTTTGATTTTAATTAATGACCTTCCCAATGGCAGCATCTATAAACTTGGTATCTATGCTGATGACACGGCCATTTACTCGTGTCTATATAGTAAGTCTGAAATGGTCAAAATGGCAGCTGATATCCAAAATGACATATTTTGCTAACTAGAGCAAAGAATGGTTTGTTAATTTTAGCACCTCCAAAATTGCTTTTTATTCATCATTTGAGAGAACAACTACCTTCCATCAGCATGGCTGATGCCGACCTCAGGGAGAGTGACTCTCTGTAACTTCTTTGGGTAATGTTCTCAGCTGATATGAAGTGTAAAGACTATATTGAATCCATTGCTAGGTCAGTTGCTAGGAAGGTTGGTTGACTGTGTCATGCTAGATGATTTTTTTTCTCCATAGTCTATCTTTCATATCTAAAAATCATACCATTCACCCATGCTTAGAATATTGCTGCCATATATGGACTGATGCTCCTTCGATTTACTTAGAGCCCCTTGATCAAATCCAAAGAATCAGAAATATTATCCATCCTGATCTTGCATCTTGGTTTCAGTCACTTATCCACTGCTGTAAGGTTACCTCCCTTTGCCTTTTCTATATATACTTTTAATTGTTCAGATGAGCTCTTTGCTATTGTGCCTAGACTCTTTGAATTTAAGCGCAGTACTAGAGGTCTCACCAATTAACAGTAGAGCTGGCTAGATGTAACCATAAATTCTCTGCTAACAGTTCCTTTTCTCACATTTCTCACATGTAGAACTCCATTTTGGCTCCATGCTTTCCAGCAAACTTTAATCTGTAAAAATTTAAATGCAATATCAGTCACTATCTGCTGTCCTCCTGATTACTCTTCCTCTGTTCTCACTCCATCGTAATGTTCCTGTTTCTAACTCTTCCACACCCAGTAATCTCGCCAGTCTCAGTGGCTTTATTCCCTTATTTTCTCATCGATCTCAGTGGCTTTACTCCCTTATTTGGGGTTAAAAAAGGACAAGTTGAACTTTTTGAGGAACTCTAGTGATATGGAGAAAAATAATGTTAAGCATTCAAATTTTTAATTGGAGAATACTCAAAAATATTCAAAAATTTTACAGAGTTAAGGAAAGGTAAACTAAAGAGGATATTAAATGAGGTAATTTTTTAACAGTTTAAAGGAAAATGAATTAATTTCATTATTACTCTTTATTTTTTTATGTATTTTATTCTCTATTTATTCTCTATTTTATTGTTTATTTAGTTATTTAATTTGATTTATTTTTTAAAGGTCATGAATTAAGTGTTTATTTCAATTTTCTAAATTTTTATGGTCATATATAAATATGTTAGCTTGAGAAAGAGCATATATATATATATATATATATATATATATATATATATATATATATATAGTACTTAGACATTATTTTAAGTAGATACTCATATTTGAGTAGACGCTCTGTCTATTTATTAAACAATATTTATTTTCATCTATGGGCCTTTTGTAATCCATTACATAATATAAGTAATAAAAGAAAGACTTCAATTTAAAATAATAAAGTATTTAATTACCAAATGCAATTAAAATACATTAACAAGACGGAAGTAAAGAGTCAATGGAAAGGTTATTGATTACTTATCAGTTAATACACGACTGCATAGTGCTGTTAAGAAAAATACTTATTCATCTTGAAACATGGGACACTTGACTTTAACATCCGGGTTAACACAATAGTCAAACATGTTATTGTAACCACAAGTCAGTGGCAAGATATCTCTATTTATAGAGCAGTCTACATTTTCATTGTCGAGAGATTCACATTCCAACTCCAGTGTTAACAGTGACACTTTTCATTCATATATGACAGGACCTGAATAATCAAGACAAATATGTGCTCTCTGAAGCATCTTTTTGTTTTTAAGCATTTCACCCCATGCAAGGGGAGAGTGCCACTAGCATGCAAGGCATGACAGTGGGAGCAAGAGTAAAGAGGCATGATAGAGGAGAGGATGAAATGAATGATTGGGAAGGCATTTGGAGATGTCAATTGATATCGCATTTGAATATTTGTAGATTATAGCTATCAGGGAACCAAGTAAGAGGAAGGGAGTTCCACAGATGGGAAGTGTGAGACATAAAGCTATTTGCGTAGAAGAGCTGGCTACATTGAACCGTTTGGACAGTGTAAGGGTGGGATTGAAATGTCAACCTACTAGCACGTTTAAGTTCATACAGTTTGGGAACCAGCAAAAGTAGCTCATCAGAGCAGTTAGTGTAAAAGTATTTGAAGAAAAGACAGAGAGAAGCAATGGCACATCTGTTAGAGAGCAACTGTAAAGGTGATGCAAGATCAGGGCCAATCACATTGCATATCTGTCTCTCGATTTTATCGAGGACCTTAAGATCAACTGTGGGGTCTCCAGGCCATATATGGCAGCAGTATTTTATGCAAGGGTAAATAGTTGACTTATAGATTTCAAGGATGGACTTGGGTGAGAAAAACTTTCTGGCATGACATTGAGAACCAATTTTCCTTTCAAATATGAGTATCCACTAAAAATAATGTTTAAGTAGTAAAAATCTGTTGGATTAATAAATAAAAATTCCATTCCTTTCTTTCACTGAATCCATCATAAGAGTTCAGAATATGGAATTAGTAAATACCAAACACTTCAAATATTTCAGCGTACAAATCAGTTATAACAAAATTAGTATAGGGATTAATTTTTTTGTGCAAATTATTATTTAAATTCATTTACTTTAGGTTTAATATATGTGTTATCTATCTTGAATAAAATGAATTTAATTGTTTCCTTTTTTTTAACATTTGTTGTCATGTATATTGGCTTGGGAAAGTATATATATATATATATATATATATATATATATATATAGAGAGAGAGAGATCATTAATATATATATATATATATATATAAAGAGAGAGATTGATAAAATATAAGTATATATATATATAAATATATATATATATATATAGAGAGAGAGATATTAAAATATATATATATATATAAAGAGAGAGAGATTGACAAAATATAAGTATATATATAAATATATATATATATATAGATAGATAGATAGAGAGAGAGAGAGAGAGAGAGAGAGGGATTATTAATATATATATATATATATAGAGAGAGAGAGAGATTGACAAAATATGAGTAAAAACATTCAGTGCTTATTGGATGTAAACACAGTCTTATCAATGCAATCGTTATTGTTGAAGATCCTAATGAGTGATTCAAATATTATGAAACACTCCATGGTTCTACAGAAGTATGCTGAGAATAACATGGAGTAGACATGTGAGCAATAATTAAATTTTAGGGAAAAATGCAAACAAAATGGATGCTTATACTTAAAATCAGAAAATGACTGTAGACATAATGAGGAAAGAGGCTTTGGAGAATTTGATACTTACAGAATATAATGAAGGCAAGCTGGACATAATAAATGTCTGTAAATGGTTGGCAAAACTGGGATTAGGAGAGAGAGTAAAAAGACAAACCTTTTAAGAGCTACAAAGGGCAAGTAATTGTGGAGAGCCATGATCGCCCACATCCTGAAGGGACACGGCACATATACGATGAATCGCAGAATGTTCTAGGATGTTCTCATTCTCTGTCTCTTTTCATTTCATCTTTTTCCATGATTTATTCAAAACTGACTCACACTTAACCTCTCAGGTTTATTGTTATGTGAATGATTGAAGCACACGCACACACACTCTCTCCCTCTTTCTTACTCCCTGTTTCTATTTTATCTCTCTGTTTTTCAGCTTCATTGATTTCTGTGTTAATGGCACATGCTGTCTTTACTCTTTTTCTCTCTTTGCATTTTATCTTTCTCTATGTGAATGATCCAGAAACTAATCAGTTCTTGCCTCTGTCATCTTTATTGCACCCTATGTGAATGATCCTGGGTAAATACCCACTCTCTCTACATGTTATTTCTCACCGTGTGAAAGTTCTACAATTTACGCCCTTTCTGTTTTATTGGTTTCTATGGATTCCCTTACTTATCCACAACATAAAATGATCCAGAATCAAGTCATTCTCTCTCTCTCTCTCTCTCTCCCCAACTCTGTATCTCATATATATATATATATATATATATATATATATATGTATGAGCCATATCTTTTGACTTTTGAAACTTGTACACCTTTTGACTCAAGTGTAAACTTGATCTTTTTACTTGTTTTCACTAGAGCATAAACTGGACACAAGTCTAGCTTTTGACTCAAGTCTAAACCAGACCAATGTCTATCTTTTTACTTAAGTTTAAATTAGATCCTCTAATGGGACCAATGGCTACTTTTTAACTCAAGTGTAAGCTTGACCTGTGTTTGTCTGTGTGTAAATGTGAGCCCAGTCTATCTTTTGACTTTTGACACCAGTGTACACCTCTTGACTCATGTGTAAATAGGATCTGCATCTATCTTTTGAATCCTTTGACTCAAGTGTAACCTGGTTTCATATCTACCTATGTGTTATATGAAACACTGAATGACCCATCATGGGTTGAAATATCATTAACTTCACTTGCCTAATCTAAGCTAATCTGAAGAGAAAGAAATATATTGTAAATAAAATCCATTTTCTTCTTTATCTAAACCACTTGATTCTCGTGACTAATGGAAGAGACAACCTGAAATAAAAAAAAAACAAGTAACTGTTGAATCGTATAATAATGTGTGTGAATTATTCACTGTTAAAAAGCCTTATCTATTTTTTTAACATAAAAATGAATTATTTTTTGTTGTTATATCTCATTTTACATGAGGAGGAATGATTTCAGATAAGCAGTTACCAACAGTAATAGTGGTGTTCCATTCAACAAAACAAGACAGCAACAACAGTTGGAATAGCTGAACAGTTCAAGGACATCATGCCTGAAACAAAAAAGCAGGTGCTTGCACTGTTGATGGCAATCAAAACAACATTTTCTTGAAACATTTCTTTCAGTAATTCCAGGACTATTGGATTGATTTTCGTCTTCCTCTGGGCAATTCATGCCAAGATGTATTGATCTGTGTCATGTTGACAAGAAAGTCTCCTCCATGGCTGCCTTGTGCATTGCATATGGGATGAGACACATTCTCTAAAGAATTTGGACATTGTTAGACGCTTCAGTAAAATTAGGCTTTCTATTTTATCTAATAATAGTAATACTAATATTCACATTTTCATTAAAAGGAAGCATTCAAAATTCATTGAGCCAGTGCTACTTGAGTGATGCTTTTCTTCAATCCCAGGCTATCAATCTAGGATCAAAGTGTAGTAGCTGTTCTCCTCATCTCTAAGAGTAATGGTAACATTAGTTGTTTTCTTGTGTAAACATTCGGTAATCATTGAATGTGCAGGCAGTGGTACTAGAGTGATGCTTTTCTTCATGCCCTGGCTATTGAGCTCAGATCAAAATGTAGTAACTGTTCTCATCGCTAATAGTAATGGTAGTGCTAGTTGTTTCTTTATGTATAAACATTTAACAATCATTGACTGAGCAAACAGGTATTTGAGTTATACTTGTCTTTACTTCCTGGCTATCAAACTAAGATCAAAGTATAGTAGCTGTTCTCCTCATCTGTAATAATAATGGAAATGCCAGTTTTTTTTTCTTATGTGTAAACATATGGCATTCATTGACAGACAGTGCTACTTGAGTTATGCTTTTCTTCACTCCCTGGATCAAATTGTAGATCTGTTTACCTCACATCTAATGGTAATTATAATCTCAAAAGATGTCTAGCAGCCAGTTCAATTAGTGTTATGGCATTTGTCTATCACTGGTCATCAAGCTAGGATCAAAGTGATAGTATCTTTGGGGCAGAAAAACTACATTTTGTCCCTCAGTTGTGTTGATATGTGTGGACTGAGCATAACTGAAAATATTACCGAGTGGTGCCCAGTCTACAGGTACATAGTCCCTCATGGTACTAAAGAGTGGAATTGGTTATAAAACTGATGCCAGCACAATCAACAGCTGTGAGAACAGGGCTATTTTGGGATCTGGTCCAAGTGTGTTTGCTCGAGCTGCCCACATTAAACTGACCTTGTGCCACATTCTGCCAGTGTCGGAGTGGCAAGTAAATACCAAGTGTAGTATCTGTTCTCCTCATCTCTAATGGAAATGGTAAAAGGAAACATTCAGCATTTATTGAATGAGCAGCCAGTGCTACTTACCTTTGCAGTGGGAGTTCTCTTTTCACAAACCAGCTTGACCAATGCTTAGCACCTGACTTGATTTTTGCTGCTAGAATCTTGGAATTTTTTGTTTTTAACACTGAACTTCATGTTAACTTTTAAAGATTTAATTTTCTTACATTCTTTTGCTCATTATTTCTGACTGATTTCTTGAATTTTTCTTTTCAGTTTTTTTACCCTCTCCTGATTCTTATTTTATTTTTATTTTCTACTCTTTTTTATTAGGACTCTTGATTTACTTTATCATTTTTGCTTATATTGAACTTATTTTTTCTGTTTATTTTGTATTCCCCCAACTGACATTAATTTCTGTTTATCCTTTTTAGAAATTTTGTTTATCTTTGTATATTTCTATGTGTTACTTATATTTTATCTATTTTGTCATCATGAGTAAATAGTTTTCATAACTTCTGTGTTTTGTTTTCTTCTCTGTCTTTCCATTTCTATTTGTTTTATTTCTAATTTTTATTTTTATTTTTTTGTGTAATGTTGGCCATTTTTTGTTTAAGTTGCAAGACTTGTTATATTAATGTGTTTCATTCTTTGTAATATTTAGTTTTCCTGTTATTTTTGCTTTTGTAATTTAAAAAAAAAAGTGACTGTTTTATAGGTTTATATATTACGTTATTTGTTTTCTCATCCGTCTTACATTATGTAATTTTTTATTTGCTGTTTTATTAATTTTTTTTCACATCCAACTGTTTTTCATATCCAACTGTTTTTCATTTGAACCAAGTTTTTGTTTTTTTCATTTTATCTTGTTAAATTTATTATTTCCTTCTTTATTTTGTAGAGGCCTAAAAAATGCCTATTATTGTAACCAGCCATAGACCAACTTGCTGGAAGTGCAGAGAGACTGATCACCTGTCCTCTTCCTGCCCAGAGAAGAAGGCCTCTGGATTTCTGGCCCCCACTGACTCAAATCCTCCTCTGGTTGAGTCTGTTGTTTCCATCTCACCTTTAATGGGTATGACAACGACTGGGATTGGTGTAGTAAACCCCCCAGTTTGGTCTGTCTCACAGCACCCCATTCTCCAAAAGAGCTTTGCCCACCACTTGTGCAGTTGTGGAGAAGGGAAAGGGGGAATAGCAGGTCATTGACAGAGCTAGAGGAAAGCTCCAGGCAGTGGGACCTTGTACCACAGAAGCCCCTACAGGTAATAAGACAGACAGACCTACTCCCTCTACCAATTCTAAGGGTGATTCCTCGACCAGCTACACCGATCAGCTGAGACAACAGAAAATGAAATATGAACCATCTTTTGAGAAAGCCAAGAAATTACAGAAATTAAAAGAGGAATTAAAGCAGAAACATCTCTCTAAAATAATTGGCTGTGGTGTATGACTATGTGTGTTTTGCTGTTGTGAATTTCCAACTCCTATCAGGATTTGAGTCCAGGTAAATTTATTGATTTGGTGGGGAGGAGTTAAACAGGTATCTACCAACTTGGAAGACCAACCCAGGCAATCTTCCCCATCCACAAAAATAAAAACACATCATGGCTCCTCCTCCAGTGCTTAAATCCCTATCTCCTACTTCCGAGGCAACAAATATGGCCGCTGAATTGTGTGCAAAGGAAATTAGGAATGCATCTCATTGGCATATCGTGTGCGTCATATTGCCAGATAATCAGACCGTGACTTCAAACATAGGTACATGTGAGGCTTTTCATGACTACTTCCAGGATCTGTTCACCTGGTCTGAGCACTACTCAGTTCATTGCCTATTTAGTCAATTTTCCTGCCTCAAGGCAACTGGACTGGCTAGGTGCAAGGATCCCATCACATAGAAATCTGGGAAGTGCTGAAGCAAATTGGCTGGAACAAATCTCCAGGTTTAGATGGTCTACCCTATGAACTGTATTTGAGGCAGTCGCCTGTTTTCGTTCATTTGCTAGCGCTGATTTTCAACAACTGGTTGAAGGAGGAGTCTATACCTTAACCTTTCACCAGGGGTGTAATCAAGTTGCTTCACAAGGACAAAAACAGTGGTGATGGGATAGGTAACTTTTGGCCTGTAATGATGTTAAATACAGAGTTGAAAATTTTAACTAAGATCTTAGCCAACTGTTTGCAGGCTGTCCTCTCTAGTCAGATTGGCTCCTAACAGACTTGTGAAGTGATGGGCAGAACTAATGAGAACATACTTGATCATCAAGCAAGTCAACAGTGAAGCCATGCTGATCAATTTAGATCAGTCCAAGGCATTCGATAGATTGGACTATCAATTTCTAGAGGCTGTCCTTTTGGTGGCTGTTTTTGGGCTGTACTTTCACTCCTGGATTCAACTTCTGTATACGTCCCCTTTTGTCCTGATGGAATTGAATGGGGTTCGATCAGAGTCTTTCATATTGTCTCGCTCCATTCATCAAGGTTGTCTGCTTTTGCTTTATGTTCTTGCTTTGAAACCTTTCCTTTGAAAGTTAAAGATGAATCCAGTCTGATGTGGAATTTCTCTACCTGGTGCTATCACCTCAGTCAGGTATTCTATTTAGGCTGATGACATTTCGGTTCTTGTGTAAAGCAGAGTTGAGATTGATGAAGTTGACAAAGAAATCAGAGGATATGAGACGGTGACAGGGGCCAAGATCAACTGCAACAAGCAGTTGTGTGCGTCAAAAGGAATTTCTCTCCCTGGACTTTTCCTCTGGATGGACAGGTCGGTCAAGATACTTGGCATCTGGTTTGGTCCTGTTCCCTTG